TTTGGTTTGTCCTAGACTTAGAAGTAAAGATGCCGGCAAAACACTCGGAAACAAGGAAACGATGGAAATGAGTGAAACATCTCTGGCAGGAGATTGGATTGACTGGAAGTCTTGAGGCGCGAGCGATCTGTCCCGGCGGGGTCTGGGTCGACCCTGGGCTGCTTGATAACATTTTCTCCAGGTCCTGGTTTGCTAGGGGAACAAAAAGAAGAACTGCCACCCAGCAAAACAAAGAATCCAGAATGTTTCTCACTGTTGTGCCTCTTTCAAACTCCAAAGAGACTTTGGCAACAGCAAGCGTGTTGAAATCAAACAGCGCCGATAAAATATCAAACAGCTATGTTTTGCTCCACGAAGCTGTCCTGCTGGAGACCATGTTTGGCCAAGATATCAGCTAGCGAAATGGTAGCATCAGCCATGTTGCTTTCTACCCAAACACCTACTACCTAAAAGCCTGGAACACCTGCAGCAAAGAGCGTCGAAATGTAGACATCAGAGTGGGAACATGTGAGCAACCGAGACTTGCAAAGCTCACATGTCAGCATGGTTCCACAAGAGTACCAGCAAGAACCAAGCCTCCACCCTCGCGCATGAGCTTCTGGTATTTCTCCCGGGACAGCCAGGAGGACTTGCCATGTGCAAGTTGGAACTCTCCACAGCCGAGCTCGAAGTCTTGGTGTGAGACCTCAGCTGATGAAGTTTATGTTATGTCTTGAAATGTTTTGTTTTAAAAGGGATATTTGTCCTCTAGTCTTTTGTTGTTTTTGTCCTCTAGTCTTTTGTTGCTTGCTTGTTTAGCTATTTTCTTTGCATCTTCACTTCATTGTTCCACTGTCTTTTAGTTGGCTGTGCGTTTGTTTGATTGGGCTACTTACTACGCTCAATTGATCAACAGATTGATTGATGGCTTGACCCATTGAGTGATAGGTTGATAGATGGATCAGTTGAAAGGTTGACAGATTTCAAGAGACTGATGGCTTCTGATTACTTAGTTTCTGACAGCTAGGTTGAGGCGGTAATGCTACCAAAACCATCAAATGACACACCTCCTTTAGCCTAGATACCAGCCAAAGCTTCATTTTCTGGTTCTCGAGCATTTCGACTGAGCTTCCATCCCGCCTTTTGGCCGAAGTAAGCATGAGCATGCATCCTGGTTCACGAGCTGGCACTTTGTTTTCCACCACATACTGCTCAAGCAACCCCTCCAGTGTGTCAGGTTCCAAGGAGAAGGGCTTGGGAGCTGCATCTTCCACAGGTGCAGCAGGGTGGTTGGAAGGGTCTGGACAGCTTCCAGAGCCCCCCACAAAACCTAAGGGCACATCGGATACAAACCTAAATGCCCATTTGATACAAGTCAGCACGGGACCATGGATCACCAAATAGAATAAGGTCCAGTTGTTTTTTATGCCCCTGAAATTGGAAAATGTGTTTAAACACAATCCATGGCAGCTTCTTGTCGAAGTCTTGGATGAGGCTGCGCCATTGGGGAGCAAACAGCGGGTTCTCCAAGTGTAGGCCGCGAACTTCATTGGAAAGCTCAATGACATACTTCTTGATCCCTTTCGCTTTGTTGTTCAGAGAGAGCTTGGCAAGCTTCAAGGGGTAAGAGCTGAGGTCCACCTTGTCTACAGGAGGTGGTGTAGGGTCATAGGGCCTCACATTGCCCATCGTTTTGCCACCCCGCTTCCAATCCTGGCAGCATAGTCAAGAGCAAGCTAGATCTGAGGTTGATGGGTCTGACTGGGTTTGGGTCTGTTTGGCCTTTCCTTCTTTCAAACCAATGGAAAAGTATATATTCATAACCTTTCTTGGCCAGATCAATATGGAAGGGGCAGCCCGGTGTTCATTGTTAATATTTAATCTTGGAATTGGACTTAAGCTCAGGGCAAACTCCCTGGGCTGGGTGTGATACAACATGCTATAAAACATGCTCGAGAACATGTTGCAAATTTCTTACACAAGTGCGGGGTCCTCAAAGAGGAACATGGCGCATTCCCTCTCACAATGCTGGATCAGTGTTAGATCCGTACTCAATGAAAGGCTTCGGAAGGTGTGCATTTGCTTCTCAATGGAGCTCTTGATCATCGAAAGCTCCAAGTTCCCCTCATAAGGTGTGAGGTTGACAACCCCAATCAAAGAATGAGCTTCGCTGCCTTTCAGCAAGGATGCAATCACGGATTGAGGAAGTGCTTCTCCAGCGAGAAGTTGAGCAGTCTCTTGCACATCACTCAAAGACCTCCAGACTCCAGACATGATAGGACATGCCTCATCTCCGAAAACTATGCCAGGCCATTAGATTTGCTCCCTGCCACAAAACATTAAAGATCATTACCCATTGTAGAGTAAATCTACAACATCCGATTGTCAGTGGTCCCTTTGACATGTTTTGCAAAAGCCAGGCCTGACCCCTTCCGATGCATGTGGTACGGCGTCCCGGCCCGTTGGCACAACGTACATGTGCTCAGGGGTCCATGGCAGCAAGTCGCGTGGAGTCCTGAACAAGTGTTTGAAGCCTTGCTTCAGATTCAAAAACTTTTGGGCACAATCATATTGCTATGAAAACCCTCTGTCATTAGACCAAAACATTGAGCAACCCAAGTACGAAGAAATCGTTTAGTGATATGTTTTAATGAGAATGATTGGTTTGGACTTTTACTCCACCCAGCCTCTCTGACATCAGTTGAGATGCTCTCCAAATGTTGGAGTCAAGACATCCATCAGCGAAGATCAGCCAAGCAGGGTAGCAAAGATGAACCTTCTTTGTGGCCGGGGCCACATCACACCGTAGCGTGATGCTTTCAGCATACAACTTCTTGGCATCCATTTTGTCTTCGATCCTCCTGACCACATCAGAAGGTATTCTTCCTATTATAGGTCCCTATTTTTCCAAAAGTCCCAGCCAGCCATGAAAACATAAAGCTTCAGGGGATAGTAAGAGGTTTGCTGTCAAACCTACCTGATAATAAAAAAGAGTGAGACTGCTCCCATCATTCCAGTCCGAAGCTGTACGATCTTATTCTTTCAAAAGAAGATGGTATATTGTGTGTGTATGAGGGTGCACCTTTTTCTATAAACAACTTGAGTCTCCTCATTTCAGCCCGCAGCCCACTCCGACGATCTGATACAAGGTGCGGCGCGATTGCAAAGCAAACTCCGCGTTCTGGCATGGAGGCCAGAGCCTTGCGGACGCAATCCATCGTCACGTTGAGATCCTGGGTGGAAAGCCTACCAAGCTTCATGTAGTCCAGCCAAATGATCAACGACCCGTTGTCCGCTTTCAGCTTGGTGACAAACTGAGGGGCATGACTCTTGCAAGTAGCTTTCTTATTGCAAAGAGATTTAATTTGTGTTGGTTTGATTTGTGTGTGGAGGACATGTATCACCCAAAAGATTGGCGAAAAAAGGGGTGAAAGAAAAACAGTCAGGGAGCAAGATGATTTCAAGAAGAAATTGACTGTTGTGACATTGCTGCCTGAAAGCTTAACACTTTTCTGACACCCACCCCTCCAACAAAATGGTCTTGCCTTCATGAGCTCTTCTTGAAGCTCAGTCGGAGTTCCTGCTCTGTGGTGGCAGTTATTGCTCATAAACTGTGCCGCCAAAGTGGAACCAATGTGATTCTCCTGTCGAAGATGGCACACCTTGGCTACTCGACTTGTTCGCTCCGATTTGGATTCCTCAGTATACAGCCGAGCCAACTGAGCAGCATCACGAGCCAGTGCCAAGGCATCTGCTTCAAATTGAAGCTTGAAGTTCTGCTTGGTTAAGCTGTCCAGGGTCTCATCCGCTTTCACCAGTTCGGACCCATCAGATGGAGCAGCAGCAGCAGGGAGATGGTCGGCCCACATCGAACACATCTCAGGGCTGAAGCCAGGATCCCTTCCCTCAAGCATTGGCTTGAGCTCTTCATGGAAATCCCTCAGGGATCAAGGAGTGAGTAACACGTTCAAAGCTCTCCCACCATTGTGAGATTTGCTAGCCTCTACTTTGAAAAAATAAACAAGGTGGCCAAGAAGGTATGGATCCTCAAACATAGCAGAGCCTTGACAGCCAAAACAAGCAGTCAGGCAGGTTGATACTATTTTCAGCCAACACAGGATCCTTCAAAAAGTTTAAATGAGACCAGGCACCCCTCAATGAGGCGATTCATCACTAACTTGATGGTCTCCTCAGGGAACACAATCAAGTTGTCAGAGTTCTTGCGATGCTGCATTTGCTCCAGGACATACCCGGCCATGCAACAAATGTCGCACTCCAAGGCCCATTGTGACACAGGCATGCGCAGCACCTGAGCCTTGCCAGCTTTTTGCTTCGTCACTTCGAAGATGAACAGCACCCGCTGCATGAAGATATGCTGCTTCCCCTCATTCATTGTGAGCATCTCTGCAAAGATGCCCTCCACCTCTGGTCCTTTAGGCTTGCCATTCAAGAACCACCGCGGATGAAGAAGCGTTTCTCGATGAAAAGCTGCACAGGGGAAGGCCACATGACATACTGTAGTAAACCCAAAGAGGCATCATGAGAATAGAGCGCCAGAGTTCTAATGAAACCCTGGACATGGGAAGGTAGTTAACTTAGACGCAGGTGTGTTTGGCACAGTCAGTCCGATTCAAACCACTAGGCTTAGGGTTGCAATTATTTGACATTTGCTGGCCTGACTGGTCAAAGCGGTTCACATCCAAGTGCTGCCGGATCATCTTCCACACAGCATCACAAACGCCCACCTGGGGTTTAAACATGGTTTGGTGCGGTATCGGTATAGGTCGTTGATAAGGAAGAGAGTGTGGGTGCACTGAAGATTAAAATGTT